CAGCTGCTACGTAAGTCTCGTAATACGGCCGCAGAAGATGCGCTCATATTATACTTAGCGGAGGAAAAGTTTCTACTTCAAGACTTCGAGAACGAGAAGAAATACGGCTTCAAACTAACAGATGCTCTTCGTCGAGCAAAGAAGAACCGAGGCAAACTATTCACCGGCCTCAGCTTCTACGTCACCCCAAAAGTCCCTGTAGATTCCAAGCTCCTAAAGAACGTGGTCACAGCGGCAGGAGGTCAGGTAAGTTATGGCTTAGTTACCGCCTAGATTCCCTCATTGACCTCGTTGCAGCTCCTTACACAGACGCCAACAGTACGAATTCTGAGCGGCCACGAAGACCGCCACGTTGTCTCGTCGCCTGCTGATATCTCGATATGGAGGCCTCTTGCGGAACAGGGCTATCAGATATATAATCAGGAGCTGATATTGACTTCCATGCTGAAGCAGGAAATTGACTGGGATAGTCCTGTCAACGTGGTCTCGGACAGTTAGCCGATCGTGTGGCTCACAGTGTTTGCATTCTGCTTTCGAATAGCTGTTTATCTCGTTCAGATGGTCTAGTAATATATGTAGATTGCTAAAATGCCAGCACCAGTGGACTTCAGTGAGACTCACGACGACCTCGCTAGTGCAGCTAATCTAATCACGAAGATATTCTGATTTACCGGATGCCAGAGGCGGAATGGAATAACCGATTCTATAGATGTCGTTGTGCTGAACGTGCGTGGCACAATACCGTACCAAGCTATCATTCAGCTGAATACATTTAGCTGAATAGTAAGTGTGTACAGCATGTTGCCATAGATTCTCCCTACTCATGCTTTAACATTCAATTATATCCACGGCTGCAGCGAAATATAGCATAAACGATATGGTGGGGGGTCAAGTGAGAGTTAACATAATCAGCGCACTCTACTCTGTAATTGCATCCACCCTGCTTATGCTTGTCGTATGAGTTTCGCAACGGGCTTATAAGAAGAGTCACATGGAAATCTCTCTACAGCCAAGATGGCAGTGCTCACATTTCTGGCGAGGGCGGGAAGTTTTCTGAATGCTGGATAGAGACATATGGTACTGAGAAAGAGATATCCAATAGTCGCATGTTTTATTTTTATTTTTATGATTTCCTTTTAATGTCCACGAGGACCGAGCCCTATGTAGACAGTATAATACAGCGTGGCATACGTATGATAGTAGCTAGTCGTATGTTGTACTCGTCTCGAATCGCCATTACAGCCCATAATTTCATGGCTGTTCAATCTGCGCAACCGTTCCTCAATGCTGCCGCGCACGCACACTCGTGTCACTGGAAGACACAAGCAAGGCGGGCTTCTTTGAACTGTCATCGTTGTCGACCTCATGCACGATGCTCACGGCCACGGGCGGCATCGAATATAACTCGCTGGGTGTCCCGGCCGTAGCTAATGAGGTCGCAGATGTAGGAAGCGTCTGCGGCGCCTGAGTCTGCTCCCAGCCCATCCCTACACGGACATTAATGAACATGAACGAGATGCCTGCAACCACAGAGAGAGTCTGGTAGCTGAAGAGCTGCAGCTCGTCCAACGTTACATAGGTGACCAAGAAGAAGACCACCCAGATTCTGTCTCAAATCTGTTGAGTATGAAGAAAAAGATAGTCGGATCTCGACGTACGTGTAGACAGCGGCGCTCTCAATGAGAATGGTAAGCAAAGACTGTGGCAGTATTTTAAATGACGAATTGTTCTTTGAGGCATCGTACACACCGTAAGTTTGCTGGATTTATGATCTATAATCACGAAATTTATGCGCCAGATGCGCCATGCGATCATGGCTATGGCAGGTTTTAGCATGCTACTTTCCGAAGCTTACATCAAGATGGAAGCAACTGACTCGTGCAGTATAAGTTTGTGCTGTATAGCCAACATAAGTAAGGGTCGTTGCAATGAAAAGACAAATTAACATACCAAAGAGTGAAAACACACCAGAGAATGTATACTTGACTGTTCAATGACCAGGTACCCAGTGTTGAGAAATCGAAGCTGGGAAGGAGCTGCATCTCTTTGCGTACAATCAAGATTGCGCACACTACCTCGTGGGTGAGTCAAGACTGTCTACCATTGCTTGTGGGGCTTACCTATCAAACCGACAAGAGTGCACAGGGGGATGATAACAATACGCTTGTTGTAGGACCATACAATCCACAACCGATATGTCTGACGCGAGGAATACGTAAGGGATGTTAGATATTAGACATGTAAGGAGTCTTACGATAACAGCGTCGTTCACGATCGCAGTAAGCATGAGCATAGCATCACCAGCTATTGTGGATTGTTGGACAAGAGCTAATTGCACTGGAGGAGTAGTTAACGTAGACGTTTGAATGGCCGTCAAGATACAGTGCTATGCGATGATTGAGCAATTTCACTCAAGACAACTTCGCTGATACACTCACGATTGTGTTAGAAAGAAATAATAGAACAGTGATGGCCATGAAAGTCGTAATTGGTGTCCACCGCCGGGAGTCATTGAGGTTGCGAGAACGCTTAATAAGCAAGTAGAGAGACACAACAGAGAGGACGAAGAATATGCCATAGAGGAAACATTCAATACACATTGCTGCAAGCAAGGCGGGATAAAGCACAAATAGGCTTATCATGGCGAGAGACGTCGTTGTTCGTACCAGCAGGTGGGGTTTTTATTCCAGCCACGACGAAGCGTTGGTGGTCGGCATGGATATATCTAAGCCTACAATATGCAGTGAGCAGGCAATGTTCAAGGGCTCTGACAGATCGCAGCGATAAACACTGCTATTCTACAAGTTATATAAGTAAGGATGCGGATGATTACTCCCTTCGTTATCCACTCTCACCTAGCACTATGATGAGAGACCATGGATTGCCACAGCAGGGTGTGTATTTCAGCAAGCCGTGAGGTGCATTTATGAGTTGCGTGAATACATTGAGCAGACTATGGTTGAAGTGTTTTGACAGATTGGACAGATAGACGCTGATAAGTCGAAATAGAAACTTTGATCACTATCAATGAAGGCTCCATCCGCAGACTTCTTCATTAGAGCGATGTGCCTACAAATGAGGTAATTGCTGGAAAGGATAGCACAGCAGGCACCATTTCCAGTATTTCGCTCTTCATTTCGACAGCGTTGTAGGTCACTAGACGACTCACAGACTCAGAGTGAGATGGAAGCAGCAGCTGCGACATGCTGTGAGGTCCTACGCCTCCACACGATGATCTAGTACGCATCACTCTGAGATGGATAGCAGTGATGTAGGCCGCCCACATATCACACGAGACGGCTTCACTGGCTCATTTACGCCGTTAGATCATCATCTCAAGGGCGAACGAATCACCGAGCCTACCTTGCCTAACCGTTCCTTCCCTCGTATAGCTTTCCAGAGTCCTCGTACGCATTCATGCGCTATTGATGCTTGTGCACACGCTGCAATCTAGCGCCCTAGTTCAAGACTCGACACAACATGCTACGCTCATCCCGGTCACGGTCTCCATACATAAACACGTAAGCATGATTCCATGACTGATTAGAGGGCTAGAATACTCAACAGACGTTCCCCATCACGTACGCTGGAAGACACGAGCAAGGGGAGGGCTTTCCTTAATTGTCATCGCTGTCGACTGCGTGCGCGATGCACGACGCATCGCACACAATCCGCTATACGTCCCGACAGCATCTGGTGCGGCCACGAACGTGTGCGGCGTCTGCCGGTCCCAACCCATTCCTACATGAACATTGTTGAGCATGAACGAGATGCCGGCGACAACAGAGAGCAACAGATAGGCGAGGAGCTGCAGGCCGGAGCTGTTCCTCCTGCCTCTAATCACGGAGAATGTACCAGATGTGCCATGCGATCACAACTAACGAGTAATCAGTATGCTGTCGTGAACCCACGCTCAGAGTGGAGTGATTAACCCATGCAATACATATTTGTGCTATGTCAGGCAGCGTGAGTTCTGGTGTGTGCAGAAAGCAACTTGAGTAGGATACGCACCAAAGAGTAAATAAGCCCCACATAGCAAAGATGAGTTTTCTGGCAAAAAACTACTCAATGGCAAACTGACGTGAAGAATTCCGAGCTGGATCGTAATGGGCCACTTCATACACGACAGTGGCACCATAAACTGGATGAAGAGTGATTCGCGCAGGAATAACAATCATCACTAGCAAATGACAGAACTGTCTTCGACACGTTTGAGTCAGAGACCAAACAGAACGGCCATCTAACCTTGAAGCAGTAAATCTGGGTCATTACTACTATGCCGACGACACTCACTAAGTTATAAGTCATTCAGTCTTTAGGCTATAGTCAAATGAGTACCGCACATAATGACATAAAGGTGCACGACATCATTCTTCGGCGTGTTCTCCATGCGCCCAGACACTAAAAAATATGAGCGATGCGGATGTATTCCAGTTGACACCGCAACATGATGCGATGGGCTCGGCAAGCGATAACCGGCAATGACCGGGGCCAGCCACCTCCCACTTACCCTTTTCTGTTTCATCCTTCATCCTTGGTTTTCCACTCGCATATATAGCTTTATTTTATTTATGACTTCTATAATTTCATGAACCCATACGCTACTATCCCGCTTGAGGCTCTCTTCTGCGAGGCAAATGCTCCCAGCAGGCTTCAACCTCATCGATCCCTCTGCGAAAGTTGAAGAGGAGAACCTTGCACTGTAAATATGCCCTGCATGCATTCTACCCCGTGCATCCAGACAATATCTTTCAGTTACAATATCAAGTTGTTGGGAAGTTCGGTCATAGGATGTATTTGACAGTATGGTTTTGCCGGGATCTCCAGTATGTGTTCCATATGGATGACCAGTGGTTGGAATTGCAGTGCCCTGTTCCCTTACATAGAAGGTAAGGCACAAAATTATGTTATATTGAAGATTTATTAATTTCTCTCAAGAACAAATAGAAATTAGAAAATTTCACTATCTGAATGAAACACAGACGGCACATATCGGCTCCGCTTTAATCCGTACGCGCATACCAGCCTGGAAAATCTCGAACTAGCGAAGGAAAATGATGCAGTGTATTCAACACATATGTTTTCAGAATTCGAGCAACAAGAGCGTCGCATTGCTCAAGATGAATGGGCTCCGAAAGACAGGCAAT